ACAGACTAAGACAGACAGACAGACAGAGACAGAGAGACTGACAGAATGACTGACTGATGGACAGACTGACAGACAGACAGAAAGACTGACTGACTGACTGACTGACTGACAGAAAGACTGACTAACTCAAGGACTTACAGAAAGACAGACTGACTGACTGAGACAGACAGACTGTGACAGACAGGCAGAAAGACTGACTGACGGACAGACTGACTGACTGACAGACAGACAGACAGAAAGACTGACTAACTGACGGACAGACTGACAGAAAGACAGACTGACTGACTGAGACGGACGGACACACTAACTGACTGAGAATGACAGACTAAGACAGACGGACAGACAGAGACAGAGAGACTGGCAGACAGAAAGACTGACAGAAAGACGGACAGACAGACTGACTGAGACAGACAAACAGAAACAAACAGATAGACTGACAGAAAGACTGACTGACTGACTGACTGACTGACTGACTGACTGACAGAAAGACTGACTGACTGACAGACAGACAGACTGAAAGACGGACAGACTGACTGACTGAGACAGACAGACTGACTGAGACTAACAGAGACAGACAGAAAGACTGACTGACGGACAGAGTGACAGACAGAAAGACTGACTGACAGAAAGTCTGACTGACTGACAGACAGACAGACTGACAGAAAGACAGACTGACTGACTGACTGACTGACTGACTGACTGACTGACTGACTGACTGACAGAAAGACAGACTGACTGACAGACAGACAGACTTAAAGAAAGACAGACGGACAGACTGACTGAGACAGACAGACAGAGACAGACAGAGAGACTGACTGACGGACAGACTGAAAGACTGACTGACAGACTGACAGACTGACTGACAGGACAGACTGACAGAAAAACAGACTGACTGACTGAGACAGATGGACAGACTGACTGAGACAGACAAACAGAAACAGACGGAAAGACTGACTGACAGACAGAAAGACTGACTGACTGACTGACAGAATGACTGACTGTCAAGACTGACGGACAGAGAGACTGGCAGACCGAAAGACTGACAGAAAGACGGACAGACAGACAGACTGACTGAGACAGACAAACAGAAAGAAACAGAAAGACTGACAGAAAGACTGACTGACTGACTGACTGACTGACTGACTGACTGACAGAAAGACTGACTGACACAAAGACTGACTGAAAGACAGACAGACTGACTGACTGACTGAGACAGACTGACTGAGACTAACAGAGACAGACAGAAAGACTGACTGACAGAAAGCCTGACAGACTGACAGACACTGACAGAAAGAGAGACTGACTGACTGACTGACTGAGACAGACGGACAGATTGACTGAGACAGACAAACAGAGACAGACAGAAAGACTGACTGACTGACTGACTGACTGACTGACAGACAGACTGACAGAAAGACTGACTGACTGACTGACTGACTGAGATGGACGGAAAGACTGACTGAGACAGACAGACGGACAGACAGACAGAGACAGACAGACTGACTGACTGACAGACAGAGACAGATCCCCGACACAACAGGGTGGACATTCATTTCAAGGACATATGCAAACTAGTTATTTTAAAAAGACAGACTGACTGATAGAAAGACTGACTGACTGACAGAAAGACTGACTGACTGAGAGAAAGACTGACTGAAAGACGGACAGACAGACTGACTGAGACAGACAAACAGAGACAGACAGAAAGACTGACTGACAGAAAGACTGACTGACTGACAGACAGACTGACAGAGACAGACTTAAAGAAAGACAGACGGACAGACTGACTGAGACAGATGGACAGACTGACTGAGACAGACAAACAGAAACAGACGGAAAGACTGACTGACTGTCAGAAAGACTGACTGACTGACAGACAGACAGACAGACAGACAGAAAGACAGACTGACAGAAAGACAGACTGCCTGACTGAGACAGACGGACAGACTGACTGAGACAGACAGACAGACAGACGGACAGAGACAGGCTGACTGACTGACAGACCGAGACGGATCCCCGGACACAACAGGGTTGACATTCATTTCAAGAAGATATGCAAACTAATTATTTTAAAAAGACAGACAGACTGACTGACAGAAAGACAAACTGACAGACAGAAAGACTGACTGACTAACTGACAGACAGACTATCAGAAAGACAGACTGACTGACTGAGACGGACAGACAGACTAACTAACTGAGACAGACGGACTGAGACAGACAGACAGACAGACAGACAGACAGACAGACAGACAGACAGACAGAAAGACTGACTGACGGACAGACAGAAAGACTGACTGACTGACTGACTGACTGACAGACAGACAGACTAACAGAAAGACAGACTGACTGACTGACTGACTGAGATGGACTGACAGACTAACTAACTGAGACAGACAGACAGACAGACAGACAGACTGACTGACTGACTGACTGACTGACTGACTGACTGACTGACTGACTGACTGACTGACTGACTGACTGACTGACTGACAGACAGACAGAAATAGTCCTCTGTCACGCTCCTGGCTCAGGGAACATGACAAAAGGTGAAGACATTACACATGGAATCGTTTTAAGAAACTAATTTATTACTGAAACTCAAAAAAAAGACACTGGTTGTAGTGTATGGCTGCTTGTATGCATATATATATGGTGGTGTGCATGGGTGTGTGTGCATGTGTGTGTGTGTGTGTGTGTGTGTGTGTGTGTGTGTGTGTGTGTGTGTGTGTGTGTGTGTGTGTAAGAACATATACAAACTCCAAAACAACCAACTACCCCAAAACAAAAGTCCTCCCACTGCCCATTTGCTCAAAAAGCCAAATAACCAGGGACCTGATGACAGAGATCTGTCCAGCATGAAGATCAGAGAGAGACTGACTGACCTGGCTGAGCAATTAAGCCTACTGCCATACCCAGCCAGGTGTCAGTCATCTCCCAAATGAGCTCCTCCAACTCTGGCAGACAGGGCCAGGAAAGACTAGGCAGCAGGATGACCTCTAGAGGCCATCACAGGGGAGACCAGAAGGCCATCACACATGGAAACATGAAAACATATTTGAGTGAAACTTTATCAAACTCTTAATTTTAAAGGCTGTACATAAGAAATTTCTTTTCACTTAATTTTGTCTGTTTTTGTAAGTTTTTAAATAGATTGACATCTTTTGTAAAAAAAAAAAAAAAAACTAAACGCAGAGATTTCTCACAATAACATGAACTTTTCAGCTGTTAAACATGCAGGACAGGACCACAGTGGTCAGTGGTGGGCAGGACTTTAGCTTCATCATTCAATGCATCGCTTTTAAACTAACTATTCTCAAAGTCTCGACGATAACACAAGTTTGTATGATAATATTGTCATGAAATCTTACGGTCTCCATGCCGTCGATGTTGTCCTCTCTGTTCAGGTGTTTGTCGGAGTTGGAGTCTTTAGGCGTCTGGGGAGGTTTTATTTACGATGGAGCTGTCAAAAGGTAAAAGTTTGTGAGCCACAGGAGTTTTTCGTGTCGATCTTCAGATAGAATCTTCAGAAATGACCAATCTTTATCGACTTGTAATGATTTTAAGTTTTGACATCGTCACAGGTTACCATGGAGATTTAAAATGCTGTTTACCTTAGAAAAACACGTACACTGGTAGGTTATATCTAAAAGTTTAATATCAACTTTAATTCACTTTAATCGCAAAGGAATATAAATATCTCTTGAGGTAAAGTTGAGGTTATTTTCTGTCAACTAGTTGAAGAGTTTAAAAAGCATATTAAATCAAAAACCTTTGTTATTTCTTTACAGAACTACCCATTTTTGAAAACTATATCTTAGTATGTCTCATAGGTAATACAACAAAAACTGGAAACTTTGTGTTTAATTATAATTTCCACTAAATATTTTTACTTATATTTAATTTTCATACCTTTATATATGTTTTTCACAACATCTGAGGTCAGTAGATTTTCTTGTAAAAAAATATAGGCTACTAAAAATAGCCCATCTAGGATGTTTTTTCTTAACGTTTGTTGACTTTTATAAACTTTAGATGGTGGATTCAGTCGGAACATAGTGACCGTGGACGTCCAGAGTCTGAACTCACAGACTCGTACTGTCTGTCGCCGGGTGCGGTGGCGCGCGCCTGTAATTCAAGTCACCGGGAGGCTGAGTCTGGAGGATCGTTTGAGTTCAGGAGCTCTGAGCTGCAGTGGACTGTGTCGATCGGGTGTCCGCACTAAGTTCGGTATCGATATGCTGATCCTGGGGGAGCTCGGGACCAGCAGGTCGTCTAAGGAAGGGTGAACCGGCCCAGATCGGAAACGGAGCAGGTCAAAGTCCTCGTGCCGCTCAGTAGTGGGTTCGCGCCCGTGAATAGACGTTGTAGTTCAGCCTGAGTGATATAGCGAGACTCAGACTTTTGACACTCTGAACACGGACAAACAAACATTTTTATACAGTCAACGGTAGAGTTTGTACCGGTTACAGCAGCTTAAACACAACAACTCAACATTCTTGTTTCATCTACACCTGTACAGAGCAGCTGTGTGTGTTTGTCCTACAGCGCCTCCATCTGGTGGTCTCGAGCAATGACCATCAGACACAACAGTGAGTCACACAGCTCACATCCACTACATTATCAGGTGTCATTTACTGAAGAAAGAAGAGGAATTGGAGAGATTTAGTGGTAAGACTAATAGATTTTCATACCAACCATCTTACACCCAAATATTTGGCACATTATTACTGAAATAAAACTGTATGGGACAATAAAAGATATGTGATAGCTAACTTTCAGGTTATTTCATGAAAAGTCTTCAGAAAAATATGACATGTCACTGATGAAGACTTGTCAAGATTAAGAAATTAAACTGATGATGCAACTGGCACAAAAATCACACTGCTAAGTATTTAGAGGACTGCAGAGCAACCTGGACAATATTTCCTCCATGCTCCTTGATGTTTTTTTTGCTGCTAAGTCTGCTTGTCCAAGTCCAGTTGGTGGCGGTAGAGCGCCATCAGCGGGTTTACCAACCGCCGTTAGACAACAAAGAAGAGTTTGACCCTCTGATATGTGCTTCCTGTCAGGTTATGATATGTTTGTTAGAAGTCACGTTTTTGTGAAACAGGACTGAGTTTAAATTGGGTTTAAATCTTCGCTGACATGCTTTCAACGCTTTCTACGATACGGAGTGCGATTTTAGGGTAAGTCACATAAACGGTTTTAATCATACTTGTGGAACAGTTGTCTTCGATGATCTGAAATGGATAGAGGGGAATGATCATGTTTAGAGTATAGTTCATTTTTTCATGAAAGTAGGGTTATATGTGGTACTTAGAGGAAAAAGGGGAGAAACTAGGACTGCAGGAAGGCTGGTTTTGCACCTTGACACTCTGGCTGTTGAGCCAAGCTGTTGTGATTTACAGTGACCTTTCTACAACATCATGAACTAACCCAGTACAACAACTCAACCAGAAAATGTACTTTTTACCAAACCACTCACTGACCTCTGTATTTATTTACAAAATGGAATATTGTTGTTGTAAATTCCTACTGTATGGTATGTGAACTACAGGGTATGGTGGCCTAGAACCGCCACTGCTGCAAATAAAATTAAAAAAAAGAAGTTACCCATGCAAAAAAAAAAAAAAAAAAAACTGATGCCCACTACAAACAAAAAAGAAATGTTGCAAATTAAAAAAAAAAAAAAAAAGCCACAACAGAAGTTAACGATACAACAAAGTGGCAATGCAAATATAAACTTTTTTTTTTCTTTTTTTGCGTCGTTAACTTCCGTTGTGACCTTTTTTTTTTCTTTTTTTTTTTTGCATTCTATTTTTATTTGCAGCAGTGGGGGTTCTAGGCCACTGTAATAGGGTACCCAGCAGTACAGTAATAAGTGATTTTCTAAAACCCAAGATCAGATGGAGCTTTATTATTTGCAGCATAGATGTATTGATACATTAATGCATCAAACAATTCAACTTATTAATTTGGAAAGTACCATTTAATGAGTCAATGTGCACAATGCCTCCTTTTTGTATTCAAGTCCACATTCTTTTTCTCTTGACATTTCACTCAGTATCTGAACTTACATGCAGAAATTTTGCTAAATCGCAACTTGATGGTAAAAGTTTTACACTTTCATGTTAAACACATATATAATCAGCCCTCCTTCACATAACCCCAGAAAGCACCTCTGAGGGATACATTAACCCACACATGGACACAGCACTGGTATTTACTGTATATTTTGTATGTGTTGTCATGTTCTTCTCATTCTTACCAGGACAAGTTGTTCATCAGTGTTAACACTTCGTGCACTCACTTCAGCGCCCGACCCAGCATCTCTATTCTGCAACCAAATCCCTCAGCTTAACTCCAACAGGGCATCTGTGGTGCGCAGTAGTCGGCAAAAAAATGAAAGGATGTATCAGGTGATGCTGGTCCAGCCCAATGGATCCACCGTCAACATCAGATACAAAGAACCCAGACGCATCCTCATGGTTTGTACACTACCTGTTTCATTACTTCATTACTTGTTACGTTTAGTGCTGTAATGACAACTGATTTGTTCCGAATGAATTCCAGTTACAAGATTTCAGTTCATTTACATGGTTCACTACATTATGTCATGAAAAGATAGTGTAAAGTAAGCTTTTATTTTGGTGGTGGACATTAACAATCCCCTCACCATGTCTGCATATGTCATGTTTGTAGACTACGGAGGAGAATTATTATCTGCACTTTGCCAAAATTACCTTTGCATTATGTTTGATTGCCTACATCCAGAGAGAACAACCACATGATGCACAGCTACTAGAAACACCTACTGACTGAAGGACACACGTGAACACAACGAGTACTACAACAAACCCCATCAACTGTTTCATAGAGCAAAGCAATAAAAACAGACAGGTGATTTAGTACATCCAGCTGTTTGCTCTGTTCTTAGTTTCTGGGAGCACGTCTTACTTTCATATTAAGATTTTAGATAAATTATGGGATTATGCTTAGTAAAACGCAAAGGGGAATAATCAGACCCCAGTGTATCCAAGGATCATCAAATTGACCATATTTACAACATTTCACTAGTTCAAGTTTGATGAGTCCAAAAGATACCAGCACACCAGTCAATTTGCCGCATATAGAAATGTCATAATTCAGAAATTTCTTTTTTGGTCCTTTAACTGGTGTTTTTTTTTTTTTTGTGCTTTACTAGATGCCGGTCAACCCGTTAGCTCTGTCCGAAGAAGAGCGCCGAGCTCGCCAGAAAAAGAGACAAGTGAAGAAAACAGTACAACAGAAAGCCATCACATATGAAGATGACTTCAAAGCTGACAAATACACCCAGTTTTGGAAGAAGAAATAATGTTCTTATTTGGATATAAACTATTTAAGTTCCATCAAACCAATATCTCTGTGACCTTTTCTTTGTCTTTTTAAACTAAATCGTAACAAAATATTTATTTTTCCAAAGCTTTAAATAGCAGGCAATAAAATCCAGAAGGAAGAACTATAGGAGGAAGACTTAGAATTTCTCTTGTTTTTCTCTTTTTATTCCTTAAATGTTCTCTAGAATAAACTGACATGTTCCTACCAGACCAAGAAACTGCAGCCAAGTTACTAGCCTGGTTTCTTTCCTTTTCTTTTGTTTTTTTTTTATTTTATTTTATTTTGTTTTCTTTTTTATCTATTTCTTTTTTTATTTTATTTTATTATTATTTTTTTTTTTTTGGGGGGGGGTTGATAAATGAAGTCACACTACAGAGTATTGGATACTGGATACATGTATATTCTAATGTCTAATCTATTCTAGAGGTTAGGAGTCGGAAGTAAAAAGCAATTACACACAACATCATAGTAATTCAAAATCATAGTTTTAAATTAACCCAAAGACACTGAAGTGTAAAGTTTTAATGTTTATTATAAAGTATTCCATGTGAATGCAGCAGAAAAAACTAATGGTGATTTTTCCAAACATAGAGTTTGTCCATCGGATGTCGAGCAACAGCAAGTCACTTGAATGTGTTGAGTAGTGATTATGAGACTGATTTAACAGAAATGTTACATATGAAGACAGTTTACCAGTTAAGGCTTTACAGACAAAAAGAACCAATGCTTGTTGCACCTTAAAAGGTGCCGAGCCCGTCTTTTCATATAAAACACAATAACGTGTGGAGTAACTGTCATCTGTGATGAATCTGACTGCTGAGTGATAAATGGAATTTAAGGGAGCAAAAGAAGAGAAAAAAAATAACAGAAATTCATACAATGAAACAAATGAAAACGGAGAGTCAACTGGTATGAATGGGCTTACAAGAAATTTAGTTGTATTTAGTGTATTATTTTAATATTTAAAGACTAAAATAAACTAAAAAAATGAAATGATGGACTTACTGTTGGTACTCTGGCACATGCTCCGGCAAGTAGGGGGCTGTAATGCACTTTAAATGCTAGTTGCCACCCGCCATCTTACACGAAGAAGAAGGAGAAGATCCCGCTCATTCTCGCGAGAATTTCTCACAGCAGAAAGTGCCCTTGGTTACAGTCGCAATGGGGTACTGGGACATTCAAGACGGCACAGACTGCGTCCAAAAAGCATGGATTTCCACCAAAATCGGAACCGCTTTAGGTGAGTATTGACAGTATAAAAAGAGAGACATAAATGCCGTGTATTGTCTAACTAACTGTGTTCAGCAAACGGCCTGAGCTAACAAGCTAACACAGCAATCGCCTTACGGGTCACAGAGGAACGTAAACTACACAGACCGGGTTACTTAGTTTTTGGCCTGATTTGACTTCGAGTATGTTTTCAACGAAGTCCCAGATAAAGTTAATTAAATTTATAGCTGCTTGTTCAAATTGTCCACATGATAATATAATGGAGCTTCATTGTTTGTCTTCTATCCGCAGAGGAAACAGTCGTTCACCCTTTCAAAAGGGGACAAAAGTAATATAAGCTCTGCTGTGAGTGATAACAAGCGATCAGCATGGCAATATCTGCCATTTAAGCCACACTAACTGGATAAAACGACTATTGACACTTTACCAAACTCACTATTATCATGTGGATAAATATGAAGAAGGTAAACAGAGCGGTAGAATACCTTGTGTCCTGTCCCCTGTGGGTGCTGGGTTAGCTAAGCAGCATCCACTGTGGCAAGTATTACACTTTCTAATGACATGTAAGTAATACAAGCTCACTTTAAAAAAAAAAAAAAAGAAATATCCCTTTAATAATTTGTTGTATGTATAAGATGACTTCTAATTTGTGTTTGTTTATGTCTGTGTGTGCATGTGTGGTTTCAGGTCTGGTGGGTTCAGCCTATCACATTGTGGCATACCCCCCTGATTCAGCTCTGGAGGCACTGCAGAGAGCTACCAACACAAGTGTTACCCTGGGTAATATTCATTCTGTCATTACATATTCTGATATTCCTCTGCTTAGATTTGTGTTCTTTCATCATCTATCTGCCTGAAAACACAAAGACTCAAACCCTTTCAGACATGCCTTAAAGGTGGGGTAGGCAGGTTCTGAGGAAGTGCCAGTTTTTGGGAGAAATCTTGAACGTAAACATTACCCCTCCCAACCAGTTTTCCCCTCAGCTCCTCTTCTTCTTCTCTGCTCCAGAAAGCCCCGTCCACAAACAGACGCTCCTGCTCGCTCGTATCATTTCAATTAAATTCAGATGTAATGCAGATAAATACTACAGATAATTACAAATGGGGCCCAGTCAGCCTGAAAGTAAAAAGCATTGGTGCTACTGTAGATGCCAACAGACTACCAGCAAACGCAATGTTTGCAGGACTTCTACAACTAGGATAAAGTGACATAGTCCAGGACCAAGGTAAACCGTTTAGCAGCGCTACAACAGACAAGAAACACACTTGGCTTACTTTGTTCAAGCGGTTTACTTGTCCAGCAGAAAGGTTACAGGGTCCATAAGATCCTGAAGCATCCCCAAATGCTGCATTGATGTTGACCCGGCTTTTGAGCTCTTGTCTGGTCTACCTCCTTTTTAAGCGCCTGTTATTCCGCCAGAGTCTCCGGTATTTACTTCGTTTTCTTGCTTGTATTGGCAGTCATGGCCAAAGGAGGATTGAGACAATTTTCTGGTTAGTTTCTACTGTCTGATATTGCATAACTTTGTTTGGGCTCATGAACGACACAGGGGAGCAGCGTCCGCCTCACAACCAGTCAGGTTGGGGGAGGCGGAGAACGGCTTTGTTTACAGTCAGAAAGAGCGGGCTGCTCAAAAAATTTAAAATACTGACTACACAGACATAACAAAACACAGCGATATCGTTATATTACCAAATGTCATCAATTACTAATAGCTATTGACTGAAATTCAAAGCTTTTTTGTATATACACCACAAAAAAAGAGGCTTCTTTAACAGATTTCTTCCTACCCCACCTTTTAAAGAGACAGCAGCTAAAACAAAGCATTTTAGACGGAGGTAACTCAAAAACATTTCCCTCAGTAACTGGGGCATTTCGTCAAACTAAAATATAAACCGCTTCCTTTCAGTACAATAGAATTTAATTGAATACTATTACTATTATGGATTCTGCTTATTTAGCCTGTTCTTTATCAATGTTTCTTGATTTTCTGTGAGTGGAAAAAGTAACCCAGTGCAGTTTTTAAACACAGATTTCATCATAAGTGTAATTACCTTTACCACTCATGACAAGACAGGGAGACCTTGCTTTTGTTTGCTTGCTTTACACATCAGCTGATCACAGATACAGCGTCTGACTGGTCGACAAACCAAAACACAGATGGCAGCTTTTGATTAGCATATTAGCATGCTACTTTATCCACACGGGGCACCAAAATCAGCCCAAAAATTAAGTTACCCATTGGAGCTTAGAAGGTCAAGCTAATGTGTGTTTCTGTGTTGAAACAGCCTCCATGGGAGCAATCTTTGGCATAGCAACATGCCTCACTGCTCAGGCTCGAGAAACCCCAGATGACCCACTGAATTACTTTGTCGGAGGCTGCTCCTCTGGGATCTTCCTGGGTGCTAGAAGTAAGTACCAGTTCTATATGTGTGTGCATGGAAAAAAAGTTAAATGTGTTCGTATGGTGTTCCATGTTCAACCTCTTAAGTGCATTTTCAGCCTGTTACATGCTACTCCTCATTATGCAGGCACACTTATTCATAAGGAGTATAACTGAAGTTCATCTATTGTTTTGTATTCACTGTATTGTAAAATAAACAACAAAAGAAGTAGTGTAAGGAAGTGAGTAGCGGCTGTTAAGCTGACAGTTGGCCCTTGTGGAAAACCCTACTCTCCGACTTCTTGGTTATAGGGTGGCAGGGACATTGTTTAAGTTTCTGTTAGTTTGAAACACTGATGGGACAAAACTGTCTGCTGTGTCTTATCTGTTTCTCATTCCAGCCCACAGTGCTGCGACGGGTACAACAGCGTGTCTGGGATTGGGTGCATTGGCTTTCCTCACAAAAGTGGGCAAGATGGAGGGATGGAGGCTAGCTGGACCCCCCAAACTATGAGCTGGAAGATGTTGAGAGATAAATTGTTTATTGTGAAATAACGTTACTTTAATAAAGTTCTTGTGAAAATGTCAAAATAACTTTTGTCAGCTTACATGATTGATATCAATTATTGAAAGCTATTCTTTCAAAAAGTTTGGGGTAAAAAAAAAAGAATATTGAGATCACTTTGGACGAATGTGTTTTATGTGTGTATCTTTTTTTTTTTTTTTTGTGAGTCAACATGAATAAATGATAAAGAGCTAACAAAATAATCAGTGTTTAGGGGTCAAATCTGAAGTCATAGCTGTCTCCAAGTTGACACATGGTATGAAGTGGCACAGTGTAAACAGATTGCTCGATGAAATCATGTGGATCTGCGGATACATCTTTAATCCATGCTCTGATGATGAGAGAGCATCAGAATGCAAGAATTTATCCTTACCAACTCACCATTGGCCGCACACCTCAAGATGGCGCCCTCCAATGGCCAGCTGAAAGATAACCAGGAGCTGACCACCGAAGACCCCAGCCGTATGTGTTTGTAGCTGAAGAGGCTGTTCCAATACAGAGAAACCTCATGTGGCCATTCCCTGGACGTGCACTTCTAAGAGAGAGACGAGTCTTCAACTACTGTGTATCTCGAGCTCACCTGATCATGGAGAATGCCTCTGGGATCCTCTCATCCCAATGGAGGATGTACAGACATGCCATCGAGGTCCATCCACATGTTGTGGAGCAATGTGAAAAGGCAACCTGTGTTCTCCACAACTATACAGAGGTCAGCCGAAGCATCCGCAGTATTGGAGAACAGAAAGGTGCAGCTGCCAGGTCTGGATAGGGTTGGATCCAACTACTCTTCCAGAGAAGCCATCCGGATCAGGGAAGCCTTCACAAAATTTCTTGCAAGGGAACAGTGCCCTGGCAACCCACTAAATAATGTAAAGCATATATTACAACTAAGCAAAGGCCCTTCAACATTATATTCTCAGTACCAAAATAAATTCATATCCATGTGCAGTGCTTTAACTTTATGCATTTCAGTAACTGTATGTCAATCTTACATTTTGTTGCTTGGTTTAAAGAGACCATATTTCTTCAGTGATCAGATTAAATAAAACATTGTTAATTGCCCACTGTAAACAGATTAATGTCCAAAGATCATGAAATAGCTCATTTATGACAAACAAGGAAATGATGTTAATAAATCTCCTTTTGTAACAAGCACCGGGAAGTTTAACTCCAGACTTTATAGTAAGTCATTAACTATAATCACTTTATGATGGGCAGTCCTTTCCTTAAGATAAAACTATTCAAACAGAAAATGCTACATGAGCAAATTATTGGTCTGATGCAAAATATATAAGACATGGCAGGTTAAAACATAATGCAGTGGATAACTCCATGTTAACTATTGCATTACTCCATTAATAACCCTTTCAATGTGATACAGACCTGAGGTGTGATGTTAAAGAGTTAATTAGTACATGAAATTAATAAAAGCCTTCGATACCTATGGTAGAAGTAAGTAAAACTTGGTCCTTAAGAAATTATATATATTTTTTTTATTAACAAAAATTACATGTACAATCAGAAAGGGAAAAACATTTAAAAATCAAAAACTATTTACATCCAGTAATAAAAAAAGGAGCTCGCTTGGAGGAGTAAGGAGAATTAAAGTTTGGTTCATGGCCTGCAGAGATTGTTGCCTTGATGAATACAATACCATACTATTCTCTTGATTCCAATTCATCCAAACTGAGACAAAATGTTCTTGTTTTGTAGATAATCTTGTGATTTTGAAATTTTACATATTTTTTTTGTTTGGGGCATCAATCTCTGCAGGGAGAGAAGCAGACTTTTCAGAAACAGTTCATCCTCTGATTGGGGAGGTGGAGTTGATGGCTGATTCTGGAAGGCTTCCAGGATCAGCCTCTCCAACTCTGACGGCTGCTCCTCCTCAGGGTAACTGTATGGAATAAAAATATATCTTATTCTTGTAAATTATGAATAAAATACTTTTTTTCATTTTTACTGACATGAGAGAGCAAAAAAAAATATATGACTGAAACATGAGAGGCAACGAATACAATACAATCAGAAACATACACATTTGTTTTCTAGTAACATTTTCAGATGTGAATAAAATTATAACCCCCTTTTACCTAACCAACATTAGATATGAGTTTGACTCTGCAGTTTCTTGGGAAACAAAATTACATGGTATTTACCACAAGTTACCACCCTAAGGTCCTAGTGACTTACTTCATTGTGACAGCCTCTTGTGAGATGGAAAAGGGAAGGCAGTGATAGAATGGATTAAGTGACCTATAAAAAAATCTATTTGGCTTTACACAGGTAATAAATCTGATAATAAACAATCATGTTTATTACTAACCTTAGACAATAAAAACAAACTGTCTATGAAAGAGAAGGAAAGCACTGTAAACAGGAAATGAAATATGACAGCTGAAACTTTTTGAGAGAAAAATATATTCCAGTATGCAACAAAAAGGTATCCTGAAATGTTCTTTATTTTTCAGAGGGGACTAAAGTGATGCCTCTTTTGAGATATCCACAAGCTCAAAAACCTGATAGACTCAGGTTTAAAATAAACAAGTCATAAGGAGGACACATTATTTTTTTTCACTAAGATAGTTCTGAGCCTGGGAAGGATTGATCAGAAAAAAAAACGCAACCTGATCAAACTTTTAACCTGTTTTTGAATACTGTTTTTTTTACCAAGAGTTTATAGCTAACCACTGAAGTTTGACCTTCCAGTTCACACATGGTTTAATGATTAAACTTCCGGTTGACTACTAAGATTCACATTACTTTGCCCAGTTTACTGGTCACTAGTGCTCAGTTGCAGAAGAAAGCCAGAGGACCTTGTGTTTATGAGAATTCAACGAGATCTTCCAGATTGGAGTCAACATGTCTGCCCATTTTACTACAGGTCTGAACCCTCTTTGACTTTGTTTATACTAACAGGCTCTTTATATGACTGTTTTTCAGTTCCAACAAAGATTTTTGATGGCAGGAATGTGCAGGTTTTAGATTTGTGAAGAAGATTTAAATTGAAAATGACCCTGAAAACTGTTGAGAGCAACCTTTACCACAACTGATCATTTCTGTCTGTCTGTGCTTCTGTAGTTTTTTTTATTTCATCTACTCAGCAAGAGCCTGCTGTAGAGGCACTTTGGCCAGGAAGGTATAACAAGGAAAAAGTAATTAATGAAAGTATCTCGTGTGGCTTCTTGTTGGAAGGCCCTTTCTGTGATAGGAATATGAATAAAAATAAGGCTCCTCACTATAATGATCACATTCTTTGCCATGAGCTGTCCAAACATCACTTTTGCAACCATTTAAACATTATGAAAGTCATTCATGTAGCTCTGAATCAGTAGGGCTATAATACCAGAATGACACGTTTGGAGCCTGGTGTAAGATGTAATTATTTTGTTTAAATGCACATTCAGCCCCTGCTTTTCTATGAAACATTATTGGCTGTGAATACAATCTATTTGTTTTTGAATAAAATGATGCGGTGCCTCAGAGCTGCTTAAAAGAGAAAAAGTTACCAAAAAGTTGCCATGTGCAATTAAGTGGTCAGTCAAACAGGTGGTGAGTCCCAGAGGCGAGTCCATGGAAGGCATGGAGAGCGAGTCTACAGCTTCCCTAAAGATTGTAATGCATCAGAGATGCAGGATACATAAATCAGCAGATAGCAACATAAAAGCCCATCTTGTTGAAAACTGTCCTGTTTGCATTTAAGGTGTCTCATTTGTGTCGTTTGTGTCTGTAGAAAGACAAAAAAGATGCTACAGGAAGGATTTTCTTTCTTATAATCTACAGTACATGCAGACAGCAGCTCCATTGGGTTTACAACTGCAGCACCTCCCAACACAAATCTCAGACTGAATGGCGTGGACATCGCTGTGATTGTTGTCTACTTTGTCATTGTCATGGTGGTTGGAATCTGGGTAAGATGTGAAGTTCGCTAAAGTCATATTGCTCAGCTAAGGCTAAAGTCACCCATGTAACAAAGCCAACTATCAAGAGAGAGCAAAATGACAGAAATTAGTTTTTAGAGTATCTATAGAAGAGGATGCTGAGTTTGCCTATCTGACATCCCCAGACAGTGTTCCACACTTGACCAGCATGAACTGCAAACGTTCAGTCAATTCATGTAACTTGGGATGGAAATCATCCTGAAGATTATCTTTTTAACCCCATGTGCCTATTTATTCGATATTTAAAGATCGTAATTAGCTGATTAAAACACATCCATATAGGTCAGTGCTGACTCGGACAGAATATGTAGCCTACCAGAGTGAATCATAATTTCATTTAACCTGAAAAAAACATACACTTATTTTTATTTTGAAAACATCGATGTGTCTTTTATGGTTCAAGATCAAAATGTGAAGTTGCATTTACAATTTTTTTCAGTTAAAAACTTTTGACCCTAATTTAGCTCAATATTAATCCAGATCCATGTTTCCATCACTTGGCTGTCTCTAGGGGAAGATTGATGGCAACTTTAAGGCACGGTGACACCTGCTGGTCATTTTAGATACCTACTTTCAGCGTGCCTTGTTGGTCTTGTCTTATCTGTTTAATAGCTGATAAATATCTCTCTCTCACTCAATCAATAAATAGTCTACTTCCGTGTAAACCCTATACTGCGTACACTACTTGTTTTGATTTAGAGTGCATATGAGGGCAGACGGTACAATGAAAGTCAGTTTCTCCATGCTGCCAGCACAGGAGCTCCTTTGTGAAGGGTAGGACCCTTATTTTGAAGAAATCCACCCTGAACATCATTCATCAGTCATTCATTGGTATTATTTGTATGGTTGCATTGGTATTACTTATGTTGTTACCTAGGCCATGTGTGAAGACATGTCAGGCGCATTAAATTTGTACTGTAGTAGGTGTGTGACTTATCAACAATCAATATATTGGCAGAAATAGAGGGCCCCAAAATCAAAATTTACTTAGGGCCCCATTGAGGCTTCGCCATCACATTCCAAAGAAAAAGAAAAAAACCTGGGTAGTTAATGCTCAGTCAAAGCACAGCTGAGCCAGTCATCATATGTTGTTGGTGTAAATGTGTTTTATTGTACACTGTATGAGTTGTTTTAAGTGTACAGCTGGCCAAATTTTTCTCCTTTTGTCCTACAGTCAGCAACTCGAGCTAGCCGCAGCACCGTCGGGGGTTACTTCTTAGCTGGCCGTTCGATGACCTGGTGGCCTGTAAGTACCAAAGTGGTCTAGACAATGTGTTTTAAGTTAAAAAGGATAAATGTTAAAGCCCCACTGTAAATACTCATATGCTAGTTTTTCTGAAAAAGTCACGAGTCAGAAGCCAATCAAGTACATCTTAATTATGAGTAAGATGTATTTAAGATGTAGCAATGACAAGTAAGATGTAGATAAGAAAGTAAATTACATCTTTTTTTGTTTTGTTTTGTTTTTTGTGTATCTGTTCATAGATTGGAGCCTCTCTGATGTCCAGTAATGTTGGCAGTGGTCTATTTATTGGTCTGGCAGGAACAGGAGCAGCTGGAGGCCTTGCTGTAGGAGGATTTGAATGGAATGTAAGAAAGAGTATTACTTACTTGAATCAAGTCCTTAGTTAAAAGAAACAGCAATTTTCTGTAATTGGAATAGTCATATATTTGCAAAGCTGGTTGGAGTGGGAGTGTCTGAGGAGACCTTTTGGTGTCCTAACAGTATACAAGTTTCAGATATGGAATCATGTATTTGATGATTCCATATTTATCTGTACCAAATACTTGATGTCTGGACAGCAAACATCAAATACTACACTTTTGTTACATCATGTAACCAAACCACACGGAGACTATTTTCTATTTTCCTTTGTCTGTGCTTTTGATGGAAAAATTGGATGGCCCCTGATGTTAACACAAGATAAGGCAGAGCATATCAATCAATCTTTTAAATGTCCTCAGCAATAATGTCCTCTGCATATTTGAGAATGTCACTTTGTATGTAAACTCACTGAATAGAGAATGTCATGAAAAATATAATATGCTAAATTATTGTTAAAAAGCATCAATCCAAAATTCAAATGAGGAACCTTGGCATTTGAAATTCAGGTCTTCACTCCAAACAGTACTTGTTTTTGTTGGCAGACTTCTGTTGTTTGTTTACATAATGAGTCTAAGGGGTCTTTCACACCTATGTTGTTTGGTCCAGACATTCAGTTGGCTTTATCCTTGCTCTAACAGCCAAAAAGCAAGGGTAGGAGTGATTTGAATTGACATATAATGGGATAACAAGAATGATGTGATTTTGACAACTCTTTCAGCACTTTGACTATCAAGAAAAAGCAGACAATTGTGTCATTGTAACTTGACCATGTGTGTTTTTGAAGGCAACGTGGGTTCTTGTGGCTCTGGGATGGATATTTATCCCTGTCTACATCGCTGCCGGTGTGGTCACTATGCCTGAATACCTCGCCAAACGCTTTGGAGGCCAGAGGATTCGCATATACATGTCTGTTTTGTCACTCATCCTCTACATCTTCACAAAAATATCCGTAAGACACAAACATCTTGTTTTTCAAAGACAATGGTTAACCGCGGCGCATTTCAGAATATAGAACAACCATTAATGTGTGTAAATGTGTGTGTGTTATGCAGACAGATATCTTTTCAGGGGCGTTGTTCATCCAGATCTCTTTGGGATGGGATCTCTATCTGTCAACTGGAATACTGCTGCTCATCACTGCTGCATACACAGTGGCAGGTAAATCACTCACACACCAACACACACACACTGCTGGATGATAATGCAGGCAAGTGCCACACCATCACCCACAAGAGAAAAAATATATACACTGTATATATTTTTTCTAAATCACACTACCCCCAAAAATGACTTAAATCTTCATATCTCAAGAGATTTTCTCTCTCATTTGTTCCTACACCATGCCTGCTGTCCCACAGGAGGTGCATATCTACATCTACTTAAATGTTTGTCATTGGCTAGTCATGAGCACGTATTTTTGTTGATTGCTCACTAGTGGGAGTGTGCAGTCAATTTCAGGAAGAATTAGTATTGTTGAAGAGGTGCCTAGGATCAAGTCCAGGTTTTTCACTGTGCTTATGAATACGGTGTAGATTTTTGGAGCCAAAGACTTTTATGTGTAAATCTACAAACTGATCCACAAACGGTTCATGAGCGAGACCCTTTGTCCTTTCACTCAGTTGTACACTTGTGGAGGTGGGTTCTGTTGGATCCTTTTCCCTGAGGGCTTTAGTTAGCTCTAAATTCCCATTTAAACAGCCCATCGCAACTTTTACCACAAATCCTGTCACTCAGTTAAGATATGAAATTAATTTAGACACTCTTCTAGTTTCACTAATCTATACAGAGATGATTAAGTTAAGACTTATTTAGTTGGGAATACATTGTGCAAACCAACCTTTGTTTGTTTGTGGGCAGGTGGTCTGGCAGCAGTGATCTACACAGATGCACTCCAGACTGTGATCATGGTTGGGGGATCCTTTACCCTAATGTTCATCGGTAAGATACGCACCCACATATGCAACTATGCGTTCATTTATATACTTAGACACACGCATACATTCTGTAGAAGTTGAGTTTCACACAAAAAACGAAAAGGGGAGGACCCACACGCAGACTTAAAAAATGAAGTCTTTTTAACAAAAGACTAGCTTGGAACAACAACAAAAAAATGTCCTCAAATGTAAAATGTCCAACTGGAAAAATCCTAATCCAAAAAAACAAAAACACAGGCAGCAAAAAATCCTAAAGGGACAAGTCACTGGGAAAAACAATAAGGTAGGGATGACGCACACATACACTGGTATTGGCATTGGCATTTGCACTCGCATTGGCATTGGCATTGGCATTGACACTGACAACCAACAAAGAAAGAGGGTAAGACAGGGACTATATACAAACACTGGGAAACGAGCAACAAGTGAGACAGACAAGACACAAGCGAAACTTATGAATGATTAACAGAGGAGGGAAAACACACAAGGATTGACTATGACAAAATACAACAATAAACACTGAAAACTGAAGGAAGAAACCAAACTGTGAAAAACATGAACAACAGGAACATACTGTAAGAATAATTGACAAAGGGGAACAGGAACACTAGGAACAAATACACAGAAAATGCAACCTAATAACAAACCAGGAAAAACTAAATACACAAGAACAAATCATGACAGAGGAACTTTTTACACCTGTGATAACTGTTTTGTTGGTAGTAATTGTGCACAGACAGTGATTCTTTCATTGTGCTCTTGAGCTCACTATATAATCTTTGTCAGAGAACTCCCTAGAAGAAGCAAATGAGTCAGTAATGTAATGGACAGCCTCTGGTATAAACAAGGAAAAATTATCAGTTATCGTCTGTTTTCTCCTCTTCTCATGTTTTCACTTACACATCTGCTGAAATAAGATATTAATCTTTATTAAAAGTATGTTTCTGTTTTTGTGTGTTTATGTTTTGTTCATGAGCACATGGATTTTTTTTTGTGTGTTTTTTTTCCAGCATTCTCCAAAATTGGCTGGTATGATGGCCTTCTTGATCATTATATGTCAGCTATTCCGTCAGTGACTGTGGCCAACACGACCTGCCACCTACCTCGTAGTGACGCTTTCAACATGCTAAGAGACCCTATTTCAGGGGATTTACCCTGGCCAGGTTTACTGTTTGGCCTAACTGTACTAGCTACCTGGGTTTGGTGCACAGATCAGGTAATTATACCACATGTCGCATGAATCCATACAATAATGTAACCAGTTTTGGATTGATTTGGTTATGCTATAGATATAGATCTGCTGCAGAGTACAATAGTTATGAGCTAGGGTCCTCTGCCATACTGAACATAGCAGGATTATACAAACATACTTTGATATTCATGAATTAAATCAGAAAGTTGTGTATCGTCAAAGTAAGTGTCAAGCTCTTATTTTTTTTTTATTCATTAATGGCACGACCCATAGCCCACATGGTAAGTTTTCCTTATTGAATACACCGTTTCAGCTGCTAGGGGGACAAATGAGCTTAGAAAAAGAAATTCAGTCATAGCAGTGTTCGCTGGATAATCGTAGGCATCTAGTACTTAGAATTACTGTAAACCCTCAAATATAGGTCTTGTCATTACAAGACCTGGCCAAACTGACCTTGTCTTGTCACTGGGTCTGTCTATGGCTCAACCTCCCACACACAGACTAAGCTGTAACAGACTCTCCTATGTTTGGTATGTTTTTTTTTTTAATGATGTGTCCACAGAGGGCTGCCATAGAATGATGTACAGTGGTTTTTGTTGCTTTAATCTGGCTAACGAAGTTCAGTCTTGGTTGGTGCTCTACATCGGTGTCCTGTTTATTATTGTCTCTTTCAATTAATTCAGTCAGGTGAACCCAGGATACGTGGTCACAGTGCTGTTACACACAATGGATTATTTATGTATTTCTCAAATAATATGTTGCTTGCTTCAGGAAGAAAGATGGTTATAACCTGTGAAACTTGACACATCTATCTTGAATAAACTGTCTGTGCAGGTTATAGTCCAGAGGTCTCTGTCAGCCAAGTCTTTGTCTCACGCAAAAGGAGGCAGTGTGTTGGGTGGCTACCTCAAACTGCTTCCCATGTTCTTCATCGTCATGCCGGGCATGATCAGCCGAGCACTTTTTCCTGGTCAGTCTATAAGCCGTCCTGTTGTTTATCTTTTAGATTACCAAGCTGGATGTGATCCTTTCTCAGTGTGCTAGCTAGATGAATAAAGGGCTATTGCTGGTATTCATTGGTCTGTTTTCCTGATTTACATGTCATTAATACTGTTTAAAATTTCCAGACAAAACAATTGAAAGATCCCATATTGATGAATTTTCTTCTATAACATTTCTATCAAATTGGATCATCCATGAGAAAGAAATCAAGCATGGCTATTCTTAACAACATCAGCAGTACACAATAGATAACTTTGGTCACTTAAAATTCCTCAGAAATACTTTCCAAACCGGTTTGTGAAGGCGTTATACATGCCAGATGGATTTCTAAGCAGATTTCTTTTTACATACCAATCTTTGATTTTGCATGATCTAGCATATGAATAAAACTCCAGGTAACTTTTGAGGCTCTGATGCAGTATCTAGTGAAATTTTTCCTTAATTTGGACAAAGAGAGTATTTCTAGAGAGTAATTTTTTTGTTGTTGTTGTTGCTATTTTTGGTAACTTTCTTGTTAGATAACATAACCTGCTTGTTTCTGTGTAGATGAGGTGGGGTGTGTCGATCCAGCAGTGTGTCAGGAAGTTTGTGGAACTGCTGTTGGGTGCTCCAATATTGCCTATCCTAAAATGGTGGTGGAGCTAATGCCAATGGGTGAGCTTCACACACACGCGCACGCACGCACGAACGCACGCACACACACACACACTGTTTACTGTTGGCAGCTTTATCTAAAATATTTATTCATCACCTCTTTTGATTTCTCATATATTCTTGTGTGTCTTGTGTGTCCCAAGGCATCTTTATTCTGATTCACTCATGAACTGGAACTCTTTCCATAAAATCCCCTGCTCAAATATTTAAAAAAATCTATTTTGTGGTTCTTTTATTAGGCAACGGGATAAACTCACAGAAGCACTATTGTAAACTGTGGATTTTTTCTTATTCCTCTTGCGGACAAATTTCAATTCACTGGTAACCCTATAGCTTTAAGAGTTGTAGGCCAAATTATATAACAAGCCATGAGGTTTGATCGGGATTGGTGTTCTATTACTTTTCTGTAATGTATATGAAGTTTTTCATTCTTATTCTATTTTTTTAATGATTAAGGATTTAATGATATTTTTAATGATCAGCATTATTTCTAAACATACTATCTCTCTGAAAATTGTGTTTTTATTACAGGTCTTCGTGGTTTAATGCTTGCAGTAATGTTAGCAGCTCTGATGTCGTCACTGACCTCCATCTTTAACAGCAGCTCAACTCTGTTTACTCTGGATCTGTACCATAAAGCAAGACCCAAAGCTTCAGAAAGAGAACTCATGATTGTTGGAAGGTAGGCATGTAAACTTTGACCTTACAAAGCAGCAAGTCTATACAATAGTTATGAATTCTTCTGCATAAATATCAAAGAAAAGATCCATCAAAATTCTGCACCAAAATGTGATTGTTTATTATCCTCCTTTTTCATATTTATCCATCTCTCAATGACTCAAAGACATCACAAGGACATTCCCAGTGTTCATGGATACTTACAGCACACAGTTTTTCACCAGTGGCCCACTAATCTCCTATTTAGTCACCATTTGTAGTATATTTAAATACAGATTCCACAAAACTGAACTGATTCTTTGGCCTCGACCAAAACTAAAATTGCAGTGTTGTGTTTCTTAACAGGGTGTTCATCCTGGTTTTGGTGTGTGTCAGTCTGTTGTGGATTCCTGTCATCCAAACAGCCAACAGTGGACAGCTCTTTGTTTATGTCCAGTCAGTGACCAGCTTTCTAGCTCCTCCAATCACAGCAGTATTCCTAATGGCTATCTTTTGGCCGCGTGCAAATGAGCAAGTATGTGTCACACACTCAACACTTGTGTATGTATAACTCGAGTTATATATTAATGTAAATATATAATTATAAACAAAGAAGTTATTTTCATACAGAAGCTTTTCTCTCCTTACCTTCTCTTTAAAGTTTGTTCTCGTGCGTAAGTTGAGTGCCTGTAAGTTGTTGTGTCTCTAACAATGTGTTCATCTAAGCAAAGAGACTTACAGAATTTAAACACTGAGCCTCTCACTGTCTCTGCTCCTCATTGATGTTAAAAGACAGATTTTTTGAGAGAAGCATAAGGGACTCCTGGTTATAACTCGCAGGTTTGTCCAAACTATCATTACTGTAGAAACACCAAACTCATATTAAAGTGTTCAGGAAGTCCTTACAATGACCTCACCTGCTTTTTTCTGATAGGAGCTACCATTTTTGTCAGAATAAACCCAAATATGAGACCAGCACAGAGGCAAAAAATCATTCTTTTTCTCATCATTTTGACTGCCTCAGCCTGCAGTGCGTCTATCATTTTGGGCAACCAGCTCAAGTTACCGTGGAAACTGTGAGCCTCAGGCCAGGAACACAGCTGAGACCAATTAACTAATCAGGGACTGCTCTGATATCTCTGCATCAATGAATCTCTTTTTGAGCAATTTGGTTAACGATAAAAAGCTGACTCTTAATTAAAATCCTTATTAAGGCCACGGGACAAACACACCGAAGAACTGGCCCCTAATAGAGAAACTATAAACTTAAGAGCAGTCCCCTATACAATAATGCCTCATTATAGTACTGTAGACTTTTAACTTTTAGGGGTGGGTTTGAGGGGTTACTAACATAAATGGTCCCATTTTACCTGTTGGAGTCAATAATTTGTGCGTGTGTGTGTGTGTGTGTGTGTGTGTGTGTGTGTGTGTGTGTGTGTGTGTGTGTGTGTTATCTCAGGGGGCTTTCTGGGGGCTGATGTCTGGACTAGTGGTTGGACTTGTTCGCATGGTTCTTGAATTCTCTTACCCTCCTCCTTCCTGCGGTCAGAGGGATCAGCGTCCTGCTGTCCTGGCTGATGTCCACTATCTGTACTTCGCTCTCATCCTGTTGGCTCTCACCTGCCTCATCATTGTTGCCATTAGCTTGGCTACAGCCCCGATACCTGAAGAAAATGTGAGAATATGTCATAAGATTGGTTTGTTGGTATTCCAACTTTAAGTGAAAGTAAAAACACAGGACTAAACACTAACTAGTTTTTATCCTGTTGATTTCAACATTGATCTCATCATTTGGGTATGGTGATTTTCAAATCATCGTATTCAGCTTTTCTTCATGTTTTACACAACGTCCTGACTTCATTAGAGTTGGAGTTTGTCTTTAGTCTTATCAGCTGAGCCACTTGGGGAATTTTTTTAAGTGAATGTGGCATTAAAAATCACTGTAGTGGTGTTACTTTCCATAATGGCTACAGCAGGAGTTTTAGAAGTTTGCCAGAAGAGACACAAAAAGACACTTGAGTAAAGAAAAAAAGCTTTAATTTCATTCCTAAATTACATTAAACCTAGCCCTAGTTTCACAAAAATACGGATTTATATTTACTGAATTTCTTCCTGTTTTGTCTAGCTGTACCGACTAACCTGGTGGTCCAGGTATAGCCAGGAGCCACGGATCGACCTCACAGGTTCTCAGGTGACCTCTGATGTAGTGAACCCTGACTCTGGCTCTGATTCTGGACATTTGCCAAATCCCTCAAGGTGGTACAGAGCTTTGCTTTGGGTCTGCTGTCTGACTGATGGGAGCAGAGGCTCTGTATCACCAGGGACTGAGAACATGGAGCTAAACTCCCTAAAGGAGGAACCTTTGTGGAGAAATGTCTGCAATATGAACGCTCTGATACTAATGGCTGTCAATATCTTTCTCTGGGGATACTTTGCCTGATATGCAGGTTCCAGAAATGATCTACGATCTGTCATGAGTAAGTCTAGACTTGTGCACGAGGCTGGAGTTTGGTCTCTTGTTAAACATTTTAAGTTGTGTAAAAAAATTGTCCAGTGTTTTAACGGATAAGCTGCTCTACTCTGCTCTTCATGTGGAAGTCTGTGTGCTGTACTTGTTCTGACCTTGAAGTGTGTAGGTGTAATTATGGATAATTATTTATTTCATTGTTTTCAGGGCGGGGGGTGTTACGGCTGTACTTTTTTCTGTTGGTCTTTTTTTCCTTTTGTCCTTCCTCGCTCTGCTCAGGTGAAGTCACTGATGGACAATGAAGATCTGTTCCTTAAGGTGCGTAAAAACCCAAGTTCTACCTGCAGTAGCGAGAGGCTTTTGGAGGGGGAGTGCTATGGGGTGCCGTTTGTAAAGCAGCCCATTATAAAAACAACAGCAAGACTTGGTCACATTTAGCAAAACAACAGCAAGATTTAGTCACATTTAGCTCCAAACAGCATTTAAAAAAGTGATGTGAATTTTCGGCAGTCATTTTTTTGCGCATTTACAACAACATTTAAATACTAAAACTAAATGTTAAATGTTAAATCTAAATGTTAAATCTAAATCTAAATGTTAAATCTAAATCTAAATGTTAAATCTAAATCTAAGTGTTAAATATAAATCTAAATGTTAAATCTAAATCTAAATGTTAAATCTAAATGTTAAATCTAAATGTGTTGGGCGAAACTAAATATTTAGCTAATATGCAAATTCACGGTCGGAAACCGGAAGTGCCAAAATAAAAGCTCCAGAAGGTCATATTGATGATTCTTGTGTCGAAGAAAACGAATTAAAACCAATTTAAGGGGGGGACAAATACTTGGGGTGACGTTTCGTGTTAATAACTACCTACAATAGCGACAGCAACAACAAAAACTTTATTAGAAAGACTCGAGTTTTCAGTGTCGCTTCTCCGTATGGCGCGGACACTGTACGAACACACGCACACACACATGCAGGCGCACATACCATACTGCTCCATGGCATCTTACCAACTCAAGAAGTGCATTGGCCATACGGGTAACGCGGACGACTGGGACGCAGGAATCCGGGGTTCGAAACCCTGTCTTTTGTCTTCCACTTTGTCTTTTGGGTCATGTATTCATTTATTCATTTATTTATTTATTTATTAGCTTAATTTAATTAATTCACTGCCATTTAGAAGAGTCTGGCGCAGGTTGTCAGCAAATCTCGTGTGTTTTTTTTTTTTTTTTTAGGCGGATTTTCCACTTCGACCAACAATCCGCCCATCCTTTGTGCGCGCCCCCCTTCCCCCACCACCACCACCCCGAAACCGGCCCGCGCTGTATGGTCAAGCTTCTTCAAGCCTGAATTGAACAAAAAATGTCCGGGGATTCTGCGCTCGCGGAGAACATCGGGAGAGCTGTATTAGCAGCCATCAGAACTCTTCCTCCCTCTGCAGCTTCATCGGTGGCTGTGGCGGACGCTGTGTTCGTACAGTGTCCGCGCCATACGGAGAAGCGACACTGAAAACTCGAGTCTTTCTAATAAAGTTTTTGTTGTTGCTGTCGCTATTGTAGGTAGTTATTAACACGAAACGTCACCCCAAGTATTTGTCCCCCCCTTAAATTGGTTTTAATTCGTTTTCTTCGACACAAGAATCATCAATATGACCTTCTGGAGCTTTTATTTTGGCACTTCCGGTTTCCGACCGTGAATTTGCATATTAGCTAAATATTTAGTTTCGCCCAACACATTTAGATTTAACATTTAGATTTAACATTTAGATTTAACATTTAGATTTAGATTTAACATTTATATTTAACATTTAGATTTATATTTAACATTTAGATTTATATTTAACATTTAGATTTAGATTTAACATTTAGATTTAGATTTAACATTTAGATTTAACATTTAACATTTAGTTTTAGTATTTAAATGTTGTTGTAAATGCGCAAAAAAATGACTGCCGAAAATTCACATCACTTTTTAAATGCTGTTTGAAGCTAAATGTGACTAAATCTTGCTGTTGTTTTGCTAAATGTGACCAAATCTTGCTGTTGTTTTTATAATGGGCTGCTTTACAAACGGCACCCCATAGAGTGCTGCCCTGTTGGGGGTTCTCGTGTTTTGGTTGTGTTGTGTAATGGTTGCCTTGTTCATTCATTCTTTAGTTGGTCTTTGTTAATTATTGAATTCTTTGTGTGTTTACTATAAATCCCATGACCAAGTTTTGATGGTGTTTTCTGTTGCTTTGTATGTGCCATTGTGTGGAGACACCATAACATGTTTTTAAAGAAAATAAAAGATGGGATGTTGTGTTTTTGCAAAGGTGTTAAATTTGTGTTATTTTGATTACAGATGTTGTTATTACTTTTAAAATCCACAGCAGACAATGTTTTGTGTTTGTGGGTTTAGAAAGTGGAGTTAGAAAATACCAGGTCCTTGTCATCTACTCCTCCCACATATCAAACGTTTGGCATGTCTGGGACCCCTGAGGATGAGCCCACCTTTCCATGCCCAAGTTTCAATCTTGGCACTCTGGAGGACCTGCTCAATGACAATGAGGACACACAACATCAGCACAGCAATAACACCATAATTTCGTCAAATGTGGCGGTTCTGCAGTCACAGGACATAATATCCTCATCCCTCCAGGAGGGAAGCTGAGCACAGGGAGTAAGGGATGAGGCCATTCCCTGAGCATGCACTTCCAAGAGAGCGAGACGGGTCTTCAACTACCATCTATCCCGAGCGAGTCTGGTTGTGGAGAATGCCTTCGGGATCCTCCCATCCCAATGGAGGATGTACAGGTGTGCCATCGAAGTCCATCCACATGTTGTGGAGCAATATGAAAAAGCAACCTGTGTTCTCCACAACTATACGGAGGTCAGTGGAGGAATCTGCAGTATAGGGGAGCAGTAAGGTGCGGCCACTGCCAGGTCTGGGTAGGGTTGGGTCCAGCTGCTCTTCCAGAGAAGCAATCTGGGTCAGGGAAGTCTTTACAACAATATTTCTTGGCAGAGGAAACAGTGCCCTGGCAACCCATTAAATAATGTGAAGCTGCACACCACAATGACTCTTTTACGAGCCACCCATATATTACAACTGAGCAAAGGTCCTGCAATATTATGTGCTATCAGTACCAAAATAAGTTCATATCTATATGCAGCGCTTCAACTTCATATTTTTATGATTGTGTTTACTGATTATGCATTTCAGTAACTGTATTTCAACTGCATTTCTTGCATTTTGTTGTTTGGTTTAAAGACACCATATTTCTTTATCATTTTCGATAGCCCACTGCAAATAGATGTAGCTCATTAATGACAAACAAGGGGATGACTTAAAACTCCTTTTGTAATGAGCACCAGAGGGGTTTAACCCCAGACTTCAGACTAGGTCATTAACTGTAGTCGACCAAAGAAGTTAAGTGCATGTGCCCAGTGTCATATCCAGAGGTTGTCTTTGGAAAATAGACGTTTGAGTGCTGCCAGCATTGCTTCAGAGGTTGAAGAGGTGGGGGGTCATCTTGTCAGGGCTCAGACCATACGATGCACACACTGCATCAAACTGGTCTGCATGGCTGTCATCCCTGGAGGAAGCCTCTTCTCTATATTTCCTGTCTGCTTAAACCTTGATTTTTATAGTTTTTTCTTAAGGAAAGGACTGCTCATCATAAAGTGATTTTACATAATGAGAAAATAATGGTGGCCACACAAAATATTGACACTTTAGGCCCGATTTGGACATGTTCACTTAGTGGTGCATTCACTTTTATTACCAGGGTCGTACACATTAATGGCTCTGTGTCGATTTATTTTGAGGAGACAGTAAATTTACACTGTTACACAAACTGTAAACACACACACACACAAAAAAAAACTTTTTGGCCTTCCACAGATTATAAATGTGATAATAAACAATCAGATGGGCTGAATGTAATAGTACTGCCAAAAATTTAGGGAAGAAATATTTCAGTACGTGACAAAAGGTGTCCTGAAATTTTCTTAATTTTTTGGAGGGAATACATTGATGCCTCCTTTGAGATTTCCACAAACTCAAAAACTGTCTTTAAAATAAACCAATCACAGAGCAGAATACATCTAATGTTTCCCTAAGATAGCTCTGAACCTGGGAAGGATTGACCAGAAAAAAAAACATAAACTGTATCAAACTTTTAACCTCTTTTTAATGAATGTAGTAATGAAGTTTGACCTTCCATTTCACAAATGGTTTAATTATTAAACCTCTAACTGACTACTAAGATATACATCACCTCGCCCACTTTACTGCTCACTTGTGCTCAGATGCAGAAGAAAGCCAGAGGAGAATTCAGTGAGATCTACCAGATTGGAGTCAACATGTCTGGCCATTCAACTACAGGTCTGAAGCCTCTTTGACTCTTTGTCTTAGTAGGACTTTATTTCAGTTCCAACAAAGATTTTTACTGGCATGAATGTGCAAAGTCTATAGAAGTCTATATTGTAAAGTCTACAGAAAAGAAACTCATGAAGTGCAGATATAAATTATAAATAACCCTGAAAACCGTTAAAAGAGAAAACTGGTGCATTCAGCCTGTTTATTCTTCTGCAGTTTTTATTTCATCCACTCAGCAAGAGCCTGCTGCAAAGACACTTCAGCCAGGAAGGTGTAAAAAGGAAAAAGTAATTGATCAATGTATCTCCTTTGGCTTTTAATGCAAGGGCCTTTCTGTGATAAGAATAAGAAACCAGAGAGTTCCCTCTGGGAATTTTGCAAGAGCCACAGGGGCTACTATCAGGGGTTGTACATTTTGATGATATTCTTCAGAAATTTCAAATAATCAATATGAGTAGCATTATGATAGTATACACAAGGGGCACACCTATTAAAAATCCTTTTTCCAGCCTTTATTTATACAAGAAAAAATGACTTATGTCTGGAAAAATTCATTTACAATATAGTAAAAGCACACCAATCCTGATCAAATTGCACATTTTGATCTATAATATGTTCTACAACTCTTCAATCTGTAGGACTAATAGCAAATCAAAATTTGTCCAGAAGAAAAATTAGAAAAGATTCATGGAATAACAATAGTGCATTATTGTATAGGGGCCTGCTGTTAAGTTTATAGCATTGGAAGCAGTGGAAAGAGAAAAGATTCAGACTATGTCATGCAACTTCTCTCACTCTAGCCGATGATGTCACCCACCCTGGCACAAAGATTCCACAATCTGTATTATAACCACTGAAAAACTCCTCGAAGAGCTTTAATGTAAATAAGAAATCGGTCAACACCTTTCCTTTCAACTAAAATTATAACTGACCTTTATGCTGTTATATCCAAGACAGAACTATAGTTCCTGTATGACCATTTGTCACACCAATAATTATCAAAAAATAAATAAAAATAAATTAGCCCCATTGCAGATACACATGTTAAATTTGGTGTAATCCAGTTGTCTGTGATGTTGAGAGACAGATTGTACTTGCATTTAAAAGATATTCTTCATGTATACTTTTGTGTCTGTAAAAAGGCAAAGATGCTACGGGAATGATTTTCTTTCTTATAATCTACAGTACATGCAGACAGCAGCTCCCCGGGGTTTACTACTGCAGCTCCTTCCAACACAAATCTCAGACTGAATGGTGTGGACATCGCTGTGATCGTTGTCTACTTTGTCTGTGTTATGGTGGTTGGAATCTGGGTAAGATGTGAAGTTCGCTAAAGTCGTATCGCTAATCTAAGACGACAGTCACCCATGTAACAAAGCCAACAATCAAGAGAGAGCAAAACAACAGAAATGAGTTTTTGGAGTAGCTATAGAAGAGGACACTGGATATGCCTGTCTGACATCCCCAGACAGTGTTCCACACTTGACTAGCATGAACTGCAAACACAGCTGATCCATATGTTGTGGATGTTAATTTGTTTTATTGCATACTATATGTGTAGTTGTTTCAAGTGTACAGCTGGCCAAATTTTTCTCCTTTTGTCCTACAGTCAGCAACTCGAGTTAGCCGCAGCACTGTGGGGGGTTACTTCTTAGCTGGCCGTTCGATGACCTGGTGGCCTGTAAGTACCAAAGTGGTCTAAATTAAAAATGATCAATGTTAAAGCCCCAATGTAAATACTCATATCCTAAAAGGCTTTGCAGCATACTACTTTCTTTTGTTTTGTGTTTGCTACCTTACTCTTGCTCTATCTCAACAGTTTTTCTGAAAAAGTCAGGAGTCAGGAGCCAATCACTGTGCTAAGATCATTTTTGGGGTGGAATTTTCTTCTCGAGCTTTGGTACGACTACAAGCCCTCTGCAAAATTCACAAAGTGCTCTTTACACAGGCTGCTCTTTAAAAATACATCTCTACAGCTAGCATCTTGACAGCTAGCACTTAAGAGAACAACTGCTGTAATATCTCAAAAGTGAAATCTCACTTGATACACTTCCTATGCCCTTAGACACTCCTACTGTGATACTCCGTCCTGTCCAGTCTGTGCACCTGTCAGCTGTCAGGGTAAACTCAGACAAGCACATCTTTTATAAAGTAAATAACACCAGTTTTTGTTTTTTGCGTATCTGTTCATAGATTGGAGCCTCTCTGATGTCCAGTGACGTTGGCAGTGGTCTATTTATTGGTCTGGCAGGAACAGGAGCAGCTGGAGGCCTTGCTGTAGGAGGGTTTGAATTGAATGTAAGAAAAAAAAAAACTACTTACTTGAATCAAGTATTTTATTTAAAGAAACAGTATTTTTTGTAATTGCGACAATCGTATTTGCAAAGCTGGTTTGAGTGGGAGTGTCTGGGGAGACCTTTTGGTGTCCTAACAGTATACAAGCCTCCATCAAACTGTACATTTATATATATAATTATTTGTTCCACAGCTCTTCAAGCTGTGAGCATACAAACTATCATAATTTAGGGTTAAAAGAACTGGGAAACTGAATTTTGTAGGGGCACCACTGTTGGCACCCACCAACAAAACTTACATATAGGGTTAATTTGGCACATCCGGTTGCATCTGTAGATCTGTGAACTTAATGATGGTATTACTAGAAAGAGAGGGTACGGTCATGGGTGTACAGCAAGTACAGCAGAGGACTCAGCATGCAGCCCCCTGGGGCGAGTAAATCCGTAGTACCCACACAAAGTAAGCAAGGCTTTGCATCAACCATCAACATTCCAGTGTCCCCAGAAATTAATCAGGAAAAAGTCTGGGTAGATTTACATTAGGAGGGTTCTGCTATTTTAACAGCCATAATCTGGGAATCATTGTTGGAATCAGTCTTAATATCGGCAGCTATTTTGGATGTACTCTTAGTCATAGTCTTTGGACTAAAATGTCTTTCAGTTTGCTTTTTCACTGTTCTTACAACCCAAAGGCGGGGAGTAGGAATGACTACAAGACTTCTTGGGGATGCAAATCAGGAGACGTATGACAACTGAATCGACATAATGGGATAACAAGAAATATGATTTTGACAACTCTTTCAGCACTTCAACTATCAAGAAAAAGCAGACAATTGTGTCGCTCCAACTTGACCATGTGTGTTTTTGAAGGCAACATGGATTCTTGTGGCTCTGGGATGGATATTTATCCCTGTCTACATCGCTGCCGGCGTGGTCACTATGCCTGAATACCTCGCCAAACGCTTCGGAGGCCAGAGGATACGCATATACATGTCT